TGTGTGTGTGTGTGTGTGTGTGTTTGCATGTGTAGGGAGGGAGGGAGAGAGACAAGAGTGAGAGAGAATTGGCAAGAATGTGATGGGCCAGGGATGTAGCCCAGTGGTTCCACTGTCTGCCTCACAGGCACAAGGTCCCGAGTTCAATCCCTGGTACCCCCCAAAAAACTGTGGAAAAGAGAAAGCCCTTGTACTCAGTTGGTGGGAAGGGAACTTAGTACAGCCATTATGGAAAACATTGTGGAGATGCCTCAAAAATTACAGTACAACTACCAAATGATCTAGCAGTTCTGCCTCGGGGTATGTATTTAAGAGATGAGAGCAGGATCTGGAAGAAATAACTGCTCTCCCGTGTTCACTGCAGCATCATTCACGATAGCCAAAATATGCAAGCACCCTAGATGTCTACCAGCAAATGAGTGAATATGGAAAATGTCGTGTAAATGTACAGTGGATTATTATCTGGCCGTTAGAAAGGAAATCCTGCCGTTTGCAGCACTGCGGATGAGCCAGAGGACATTATGCTAATCAAACTAAGCCAGTCACAGAGGTCAAATGCGGCCTGATGCTGCATATGTGAGATGTCTAAACTAGGTCAGAGAGAGTAGAATGGAGGCTGCCAGGGGTGCTAGGTAAGTTCTAGAAATGTGGTGGACAGCAGGTGCCTGTGATCACCAAGCTGTGCACTTTCCAGTCCTGTGTTACAAAGACAAAGGGTTTGCTGTTGTAAAGGAAGGAAAGATGGGCCCTGAGGCTGAGTGGGTTTGGAAAATGCTGTGTCACTCGCGCCCCTCTCACATCCTCGAAGTCCCCGTGAGCACACCGAACACCTGGAAGCTCATGGGTCAGTGTTGTTGGGCTTTGTGTGCTCACTCATCTTCCAGGTCACTTTCCCTGTCGCTGGCCCCTGGCAGGACCTGGCACTGTGCTCTGATCTTACCAGAGACGATGTCAGATGAATGGGAATGGTCTGTGTTCCTGCCCATCTGGGCGTGGAAGTATTACAGCTCACCACCTAAACGCCTGACTTAACTTTATGAACACGTTGAGAAGGTTTTTGAATAGGCCGGTGTGAGATGGCAAGAGCCCTTATCCGATGGAGATCACCTAGCGGGGAGGGTGTCCACACAGATGAGAAGGAAGAGGATGAAGCTGACAGTCATGTACCATAGAAAGATGTTTGGGAGAGATGACTGGCAAGAGGTAAGAGGCCCATGGAGGGCATCCCAGGAAGGCAGCAGTTAGGCAGGGACCAGCATGCAGGGGCCCCAGCTAGGATGTGTAAGGAAGGCACATTTGTGGACAGGGAAGGAACATGTGAGTAGCACCAGAGTGGGTGGCTACTGAAGCATTTTTCCTATTTCTTCTAGACCCAGCACCCTACACAGCCCAGTTTTTAAAGGAACATCCCAGCTTCCCAGCTGGCCAGCAGCTCCTGAGCCAGGCAGGCCCCAGTGACCCTCCGGGTGGAACACCAGCCCCTTTGGCACCACCCTCACCTCCTATAACTGTGGTGCCCCAAGATGCAGCAGCACTGGCCAGCACTGTGCCAGAGCCAGCAGCAGGGACTGCCCTCCAGGCAGAGCGTCCAGGAACCTCTCAGGGGCCAACTAGTGAGCATGAAACTGCCCAGCCACTGGCCGAGACTCACGATGCCCAGCATGCCACGCTGCCCCTCAGCACAGGCAAAGGACCTTGCACCTCAGCTCCAAAGGTGTCCAGTTGTCCCACAGGTTTGGGGGAGGCCCCCTCAAACAGGGAGGTCAGTACCCCAGGGGAGCCACTGCCTGCCGTGGTGCCAGGGCCCTGCCCCCCCAGTGGGGCCCTGCAGCCTGCTGTGGGTCAGCCACCACCTCCACTCTCCACTGCAGTGGGGGCCATCAGCCTGGCTGTCCCCCAGCTCCCCAGCCCCCCACTGGGGCCTGCCACGCCCCCACCGCCACCCCTGGCCCTGGAGTCAGATGGAGAAGGGCCACCGCCTAGGGTGGGCTTCGTAGACAACACCATCAAGAGCCTGGATGAGAAGCTTCGGACTCTGCTATACCAGGAGCACGTGCCTACCTCCTCAGCCTCAGCCGGGACCCCTGTGGAGGCAGGTGACAGAGACTTCTCCTTGGAACCCCTAAGAGGAGATGGACCCCACAGGGAAGCCCTGGGGGCAGACCTCACCCGGCCACCCCAGCCCTCGGTGAGTAGCTAGATGGCCCCCAGATGGAGCAGGGTTGGGGAGGACAGGCACCCCAGCTGTGCAGGGCCACCCTTGTCCCTTGTTCGGCCTGCTTAGTGACCCACCTGTGCAATGAGTGGCCTCAGCCCAAGGCCCTGCATGCACTGCCTGCAGCCCAGCAGGTTGTCTGTCTGCAGTGGGTGCTGCCGCCAGGGAAGCACGTCTGCTGCGGACAAGTCAGCGAGCACACTCACGGCACTGCATTGTTTTTGTTTGTTTTTTTGCAGTTGGAGAAATCAGAGACCACCCCTGCAGGATGGGGCCCGGTGGAGCAGGAGCAGGGTGCCTCTTCACCAATGACAGGTAACAAGCTCAAGGTCACACCGACCCCATGCTGTCCAGGAGCTTCCAGAACCACCTGTGGGTCCTGAGCCTCCAGCCTCTGTACCTTCATCTTGGCGCTTTCAGATGCAGGAGCTCCCTTCACGATGAAAGGATTGAGTGCCTCGGGAGAACTCGGTCACAACAGAGGCCCCAAGGCTATTCTAGAAGGAACAGCATGTTCATATTCCACAGAGGGGCAGAGGCTGTAGAGAGTGTCTCCAGCCCGCAGGGTCCCCCACGCCTGAGCGTGCAGACACAGTGGATAGCCCTGGCCCCCAGGTTTCTTCAGCAAGGTTCCAATGCCCACAGAACACTTGTGGTTATCTTGGCTAGAGGATGGGACAGGGATGGGGCTGGGAACTCCTGGAAGCGGCAAAGGCTGGGAGGCCCCTGACAGGGATCACCCCTGACTGGCTCCAGCTGCAGTGCTCCTCTGTGTAGACTCCTGCTTTAGTTCTCTTTCCTTATCTGATGATGCCCCGAGTCTCTACCCTGGGGACCTTGCTCACCCTATAAGGCATCAGGGCCCTTTTTAGCCTGGGATTTCTTGGGTGTGGGGCAAGGTAAGATTCAGGATCCAGTGCAGCCTGGAAATAGAGACCTGGGTTGTGTCAGCGATAAGTGGGATCCCACATCCAAGCTGCACTTACACAAGGAGAAGAGCAGGCTGGCTTCTTCCTGTAGCTGCACAGGATGGCTGCATGCTTTTCTAGGTGCCAAGCGTTCTGAGGGGCAGGGGTGGCCTGCTGTGGGGCTCGGAAGTGTGCGCGAGAGGAGCCAGCAGTATGTGACCCAAGGAAGGTAGGGGACAAGGCAGAAGCAGGAGAGGCCTGATCCTGCCACCCACCGGCTACCCTGTCACTTTATCCCTGCTGACTTCCCACTGTGAGAGCTGTCCCTCCGTCCTGTAGAAAGATGAGGAGACTGAACTTCTGTAACCTGCAAGCAGTGTAATTTGCATTCCAAAATCCACAATCTTCCCAGGTGTAGAACTCATGAGAGACTCAGATCAGAACAGATGAGCTTTTCTACTATTCAGAGCTGTCTGGAAATAGAGGGAGTACAGTTGATAGTGAGTCTCACATCCCTGGATGTATGCAAAAATGGGTTGGATGATGCCACCCACAGAGATGTGAGGAAGACTCAAGTGTTGCCTACAGGTTGCCTACACTTGTCAGAGACTGGACAGGTTGTCCCAGGAATTTGACATCCCTAACCCTAACCCAGCTTGCTCATGAGTTTCTTTTGCTCTGTTGGGTATCAGCTCGCTAGGCTTCTGTCCCTGGCTATTCAGGATGATCCCAGGAGAGCTGGCCAGAAGCTTCATGTCTTCACCACCCCGCCTCACCCCTGTAGATGGAGAACAGGGACAGCTGCAGGTGCAGTGAACACTCGCTAGACACCACAGGAGCAGGGGTGGACACGGGCCCCTACTTCTGCCTCATGAGTCCCTCTTAAAGTCACAAGGCACCTGGAGAAATGGGGCGTCACTGCTGGTGTGCAGGGGTGTGGCTACATGAGCGGACTCCAGCTCACGCCTCCGCTGTCCCCCAGGTTTGTAGGTGTCTTCCAGGAAGTGGCATGCAGCAAATGCCCAGGGCTAGAGCATTGAGGGGTATTTGGGGTTTTGAAAGCACAGTAGCCCCTTTGATTGCCACTTCCCTTTCCCTGCCCGGGGTGGGTCGCTTCCTTCTCCACCAGCCCCGTGACATTGCTGGTGCTCCCACAGCAGAGTCGTCTTCCAGCAACACACTGGGCTGTGACAGTGATGGAGGACAGGGGGCCTCAGACTCACCCGTGCCACCCAGTGCCCCCCAGGTAAGTGATATTTTTGCCTTACCACTTAGCCAGTTGGTGAGGTTTGCTTTCAGCTGGTGTTCTCCTGGAATCTCTTCCTTTCTGCTTGTTCCAAAGGCTGTTCCTGCTTCTGCGAGCCCTGCACTCATGCAGCCCACAGACCAGAATGGCAGGGTCCCTAGGGAAGCCTCAGAAGAGCCCACAGAGAGCCACCCGGGGACAGTCACAGAAAGTGGCCAGCTCAGCTGCCCCCAGACACATGGCACTCGGGTCTTGGGCTCCCCCCGGAAGCGGCCTGGGCAGCAGGGGGGCAGCTCACCAGCCAAGACGGTGGGCCGCTTCTCAGTGGTGAGCTCGCAGGACGAGTGGACGCTGGCCTCCCCCCACAGCCTGAGGTACTCTGCCCCACCTGACGTCTACCTGGACGAGCTCCCCTCCAGCCCCGATGTGAAGCTGGCTGTGCGGCGGGTGCAGACGGCCTCCTCCATCGAGGTCGGCGTGGGCGAACCCGCGTCCAGTGACTCTGGAGATGAGTACCCGCGGAGGAGGCCCCCGGTGCAGAAGCCGTCCTCCCTGCCCACTGCTGGTGGTGTGGCCAGTGACTTGGTGAAGAAGGCCACAGCCTTCCTGCACAGGTCCTCCAGGGCTGGATCTCTGGGCCCTGAGACACCCAGCAGGGCAAGCGTGAAGGTCCCCACCATCAGCATCACCTCCTTCCACTCTCAGTCATCCTACATCAGCAGCGACAATGACTCAGAGTTTGAGGACGCTGACATCAAGAAGGAGCTACGCAGCCTGCGGGAGAAGTATGTTGGGGGGCTTGCCGGTCAGGCTGGGCCATGGGAAACATGTTGGGGTGGAGTAAGGTCCGCTCACAGCAGCTGGTCAGGGTGACACAGCCCACGCAGACCCATCCTGTGGCCCAGCCATGAGCCGAAGTCCCCAATCGGGGCAACCTCCATGGTGGGCCAGCTGTCTCTGGTGACTGCTGTTTCCTGGCTTTTCTGAGGGCTACTCCTCCTTTAACGGCCAGAGTTCCTCCTTCGTCGCCCTCAGGGAGGACACTGGAGGTTGTCACAAGACGGGTGCCTTCCCTACCCTTCACTCTGTTTCTTCTCTTTATGTCTCTGCTTTACTGTGTCTCTACCTCTCTTCTCCACAGTTGGGGTTACTGCTACCTGGGGCAGGAAGGGGTCCCAACAGTGCATCTCTGGGGTGTGGCTGACGGGACTCCACAGTGCCTGTGGAGCAGCCTGTTTGCCCAGCACTGTATGACTGGGCTCCAAAATAAAAGATGCAGGTGGGAGGAGCCTTGTCTTTGGGCTTTGAGAACCACAAGTATTACGCAGGAGCAGAAGGAGATGAGCTGTAACCTGGGGGAGGCAGGAGGGCAGGGGGTTATGACAGTCTGCTAGGCCCAGCTCTTGGAAAGGGTACGCCTCCCAGCAGAGATTTCATTCGGGTGAGACAGTGGAGGGCCTGATGCCAGCACCAGCTGGAACCTTTGGGGCAGAGGAGGGGCTCCTGGGCACAGCCTCTCAGTGGGATTTCCCCTGGGGAGCCAGCAGTCAGGGTGCAGAGGGACCACTGGATACGAGATCATCCGGGAACAGAGTCCAACAGAGAGCCTGGACCTGAGGAAGACGGACTGGGTTCCAGGGAAGGGCCCTAGCGTCACATGAGTCTAGAGACGGGTGAGGACCTCGTAAGGGGGAGGCAAGAGGAGGGAAAGTCTAAGGGGGTCTAAGAAGTACCTCTAAGGAAGGAACTGAGGAAACTCAGGAAGGGGAAACTGATCCTTAGAGGGCTATGGAGCCCAATGGAAAAGGGTGATCTTTTAAGAGGAGATGGAGAGAATTCGGTTTAGAATTGAGAGCACCTGCTGGCGTCTGCTAGGAGGTAACCAGTTACTTCCAACCGTCCCTTGCCTGAGAGTCCTTAGACACCTTGTTAGTATGCAGGTGTGCGGGCTGCACAGTTTCTGACGCATGCACTGGGACTTCTTAGGGCTAAGCCCAGCCTGTGATTTCAGACGCCTGAGACTCCTGGGTCCTGATTGTTGGGCATCCCGCATGTCTGGGTAGCAGGGCAGCAGCAGCGGGACTCTGGGGACACAGACATCAGGCCTCAGCACAGAGCTCTGACCTTAGATTCTGAATAAGAGGCCCTCTGCTATCCCAGCACCTACCACCACCATCGCCATAGGCACCAGCCTCTCTCTGGAAATGCTACTCCTTTTCTCTTGCAGATCCCTTGCACTCAGCAGTTGTCATTCACTGCTGTTCGTAGGGAGAAAGCCACTCTGTTTTGTTATTTTTATTATTATTTTAATGGCTAAAGAAAGCCACTTGTTTGTCTTCTGTTTTTTGTTTGGTATTAGCAAAAGTCAGAACTTGCTTCCTCACTTCTGACCATGAAAATCACCTGTTTTCACAGCATAAAAGTTGGAGGAAATGGCCAGGGCAAGGAGCTGAGGAGCTGTGGCCCCTTTTGGGCTGGTTGGGTACCATGGGGTAGTGTCAGACCTCCCAAAGCTCAGTGCAGGGTGCCAGAGGGCAGTGAGGGAGTCAGCCAACAGTTGGACTAAAGAGTTCCGAGTCCCAGCAGCCTCCCTCCACTGCTGCCCTGGAGTCCATCTTTGCCCATGACCAGTGATCTACCTCCATTCTATCTGATCTTCAGACCCAAACCGAGGCAACCCTTGGGTTCCAAGCACAGGCTGACTTTCTCTTCACCTAGGCTGGTGCCTAGGGCTTTCATTGCAAGAATACAGATACATATGGCATCCCCTGGGCTCCCTGACCGTAAAGACAGTGCAGCGATGAGGATTCTGAGTATCTCCAAGTGAAGCACTTTAGTTCATCTGTGTTATTGAGTGCATCGGTGCCTGAGGCCCTTGGCCTTGCACCTGCCTGGCTTACAGTGCCATTACCAGCCAGTGCCCCCACTTGGCTCTCTAAGTGGCCCCCAGAGAGATGCAGGGATGGCTGCCAACCATGTCAGCTTTCTCCCCACTGCCAGCCCCCACCTGCAGGGGAAGCCCACTTGCCCTGCCTCCTCTCTCCTTCCCCAGGCACCTGAAGGAGATCTCTGAACTGCAGAGCCAGCAGAAGCAGGAGATTGAGGCTCTGTACCGCCGTCTGGGCAAGCCACTTCCACCCAACGTGGGCTTCTTCCACACGGCGCCCCCCACTGGCCGCCGGAGAAAAACCAGCAAGGGCAAGCTGAAGGCTGGCAAGCTGCTCAACCCGCTGGTGCAGCAGCTCAAGGTCGTGGCCTCTAGCACAGGTCGGCCCGCTGGGAGGAGGACTGCGCTGGGGCTGTCTGGGAGGAGGTGGGGGACCCTGAGGGGGCCTGGGAGGCAGGCTCTGCAGGTGTGACTCCCCCAGACCTGGAAGAGTGTCTGGGGTTTTATTCTTTCTGGATCCTCTCAGTGGAGCTGGGAGGTCACTGTTGGCCCCCGGGAGGCCCTGGGCCTCTGTGCTTGGTGCAGAGGGGCCAGGCCTGGGTTTGGGTAGGGTCTGCTTGGAGCCAGGCCTCAGCCCTGAGTGAAAAGGGTGTGTTCTCAGCCATCTCTGGGCTGTGAGCGTGCCAGGGAAGCCCAAGATCATCCTTCCTCCCTGCTACTGCCTGCAGGATGCTGACTGGGACAGAGAAGCTGGCCACTTCCTCTGACCTGTATCTCTGGCATATGCCTTTGGTGTGAGGAAAGATCGTTTTGTCCTCCTAGACTTATAAGGATGGTACTTGGTACCTGGGGCTGTGCCAGTCTCCCTCTGGGCAGCATCTGTGTAGTCAAGGGTTCCTTTGATCATCCTGAGTGGCGCTGTGCGGTGCACACTGGCCAGCAGTCCCAGCAGACTAGGGTGGAGACCCCATGAGTCCAGCTCTCCAAAAATGCCAAGCAGGAAGGCACTGGTGAGTTAACCACAAACACTGCTTAAATGCAAGCCACCCACAAGTTGCACAAATTACCCGGATTTAGTACCAAGTTCCAGATATGAAGAAGACTTATTACAGTGAGAGGGGTGCACAGGCCCCTTTGAGTCCACGTGTAAGCCTGTCACTTACTACATGGGACAGGCCCAAAGTCCAGCATGGCACTGGGTGTCAGTGGAGATGGGATACTTTCTTTGATTGTCCTCAACATCCCATCCAGAAGATGGGCATCCATGTGCCAGTTGTCTGCAGGAGACTCTGCACTTCACCAAGGTCACCCAGCAAAGAGCAGAACACAGACCCAGCCCATGCCCTCCCCTGCCCGGTGGCACCTCATGGCATGTCGCCTCTTCTCCCCTCCCCGCCCAGGTCACTTGTCTGACTCCAGCAGAGACCCTCCCGCTAAGGACCCTGCCCACGCCAGCACGCCCCCATGTGCGAAGGCAGTTCAAACCCAGCAGCCCTGCTCCGTCCGAGCCTCCCTGTCCACAGACATCTGCTCCGGCTTAGCCAGTGACGGAGGCGGAGCGCGTGGCCAAGGTGATTTCCAGCTTGCCTGTCTCCGAGCATGTGCCAGCCGCATAGGGCCTCAGTGGTGTCCCAGGAGCACGCCCATGTGTGTCAAGGGGGTCAGAGCTGCAGCCGAGGCTGCTGAGCAGCTTTGTCCAAACAAAAGGGGGGCAAGAAAAAGGTGTAGTCTTTGGATGCAAGAAGAAAACTATCCCCTCATCACCAGGACTTGCTGTAAGCAGCTCGGAAGCAGAAGATAGCTTTGTTAGAACAAGCCTCGGGGAGGTGGCCAGAACTGGGAGGGGTCAGCCCAATGACCAGGGAGGGAATGGGGCCTGGCATCTCCCTGCGGCCCATGCCACCCATTCCTAGGCACTGGCTGCCCTGCAGCAGAGCCTGATGGTGCTAAACACCAAGTCCTTCCGCAGTCCAGGGGACGGCTGGGGGTCGAGGGCTCAGCTCTGCAGCTGGGAGTTTGGCCCTGAGGAGGAAATGCTGTCGCATCAACACTGCCATGGACGGCCCCAGCTGCTCAATTAGGCACTCTCCTGTCCTCACCATCTCTGTCCAGAGAAATCATGGTGACCGAGGCAGGTGCCCCACCCCTTTCCTCTGGGCCGCTTCTCTTCTGCTCCTCCCGTTGCCTCCTTCCCGTTCCATGGTCAGTGGCTGTGGTGCTCAGGCTGGGCTAGATGGAGCCGTGGATGGTTAGTTGCAAGGCTGGTGTGGCTGTTGGTGTGGAGGAGGAATCGCAGCGACCTATACTTGATGAGTGTCTCTCTGTTTTCTTCCCTTTATATTCATTTGCAGGCTGGACGGTTTACCACCCAACGTCTGAGAGAGGGACCTATAAGTCTAGTAGCAAGCCTCGTGCTCGATTCCTCAGTGGACCCGTATCTGTGTCCATCTGTCTGTATTTGTTCTTTTGTATTTTCCCACCTCCCAGCCCTTGGTTTCTCCCCTCCCCACTTCCTGTCTTCATTTCCTCTCATACATTTCATAGGATGCCTCCCCAACCCCTGGAAATCACCCCTCAATAGGACAGGCGGACCCCATGAGTCCTTCCTGCTGAATGCCACCATCCATGCCCACCCCAGCCCCGATGGCTGTGTGCATGCTCTTGGCTGCGCCTGGGCACCAAAAGCATGTGCAGTGGCGCGCCTGCCTCCACCCAGGCCCCTCCACCCACACGTGCCAGGGCCTTCTGCATTCCTTCTGTCACCTCATTTATTTTTTTTATGTTGGATGTAGTTTTCTTTTCTGTTGCAATTGTGGCCAGTATACGTGTCTGCTGTCCCCCATTTCCAGCGACAACAAAAAGACAACCCCAACCTTCTCTAGATACATGGTATGCTGCACACGTGTCTGGGCTCTGAAAGCATACATGTAGCGGCCAACACTGCCCTGAAGATTACTGCAGCGTGTGACCTCTTGCAGGGCCAAAGCCCAGCCATCCCCATGCTCTGCATATGGAGAAGCTAGAAACCTGCCCCTGGGACTGAGGGTGTAGCTCAGTAGCAAAATGCTTGCCTAGCATGAGCAAAGCCCTGGGTTCAGTCCCAGCACTGGAAAAAGAAGAAAAAAACGTCTGGGGCTTCCTAAGCCCTTCCTCCTCCAACACAGATCTGATTGCCTCTATAATCTGCCCACTCCAACTCCAAAAGACGAAGCTGACATCTTGCTCTGAGGCTCTCCCTTTGGAGCAGTATCCTGGCCCTTGTCCGGTACCACCCAGCTGGAGCACTTTGCTCTCTCTATTTCCCGATGACCCTTGGGAGATCAGGCAGGGAGGCAGTGACACAACTTCTCCAACTCCACCGAACCAAACCCAGTTCCACCCTCGCCAGAGACATTAGGACTCCCTCCTGGGAGGGCACACCTGCTTGGGCCACCTACCATGGTGCAGTTTGTTTTTAACCCTCACAGTGATTGGCCCCTGTAGCCAAGCTGTGGAGTTTTTAGGTTTTTGTCCTTGAAACGGAAACATTGAGCTTTTTGGCAGTTGGATTGGAGATGCTGGTTTGGGGTACACAACTTTTTGCTTGTACAATAAAGATACATTGTGTTTGTGGGGACCCAGAGGCCACATCTGCAGTAAGCGACCATTGCCATTATCCCACTCCACCTCCATCTGAGACCCATATGGCTGTCACTCTGCAGGCGGGCAGGCCAAGGGCATGGGGTTTCCAGTGGCTCTCTGTCCATTTAGTAGGCTACCCCATCCGAGCCACTAGCAGCCACGAGCATCCAGCTAGTGGTGTGTCTTTCAGGCTTCAGTCTGTTGCTGAGTTGAGGATGGGGAGGATGGGGCACCCTGTCATCCTGCCTTCCCTTCAGGCTGGCTCCATCCTGGTTCCTGCTCGCCAGGGACTTACTGTCCCTGGCACATGTGAGGCTTATATTGGCTCATCCCCAGAGTTAGGGTACCTGGAACTTAGGGTGTCTTCCATCCCCAGAGCAGCTGCAGGCCAGTCTTGGGAACCAGAGCAAACCACATGACCACTTTCCCACTGTGCTTGAATGAAGTAGTGTGATTGTGCCGCTGAGATCTGTACCACATGACCCAGGGTCATTCTTAAGGGTTTTCATTGGTTGTACTGAGTCATTGGTGCAAGATTTAAAAATCAGAAATGAAGCAGAGCATAGTCAAAGGTCTGGTGACCAGGAGGATGGAAAGTCTGAGGCAGGATGTGGATTGGCTTAAGATGTGGCAGGTGGTGCCTGCTTAGGCCTCATGAATCCCATAGGCCTTGTGCTGGAGTCACAGCCCAGCCTGTCTATGCTTGGCCAGTTCAGTCCCACCCAGCTGGTCTGGTAGAGCCCAAGTGGCTACCTGCTCTGGGCACCTCCTACTGAAGTGCATGGACTGGGAAAGTGACAACCCAGCCACCCATCTCCTCCTACTGCCCTGTGGGGATGCCACAGGAAGGGTCTCCCTGTCCCCTGTGCCACTGGCCTCTGGGATATAGAATCTGGGTTTCTCACTGAGCCCTCTGTCTATCTCCAGGCTCCAACGGGAAGCCCGCAAGAGATTGAGATGGAGTGGCCTTGAGGTGTGTGGGGACTGAATATTATATGTAGGAGACTGGAGGAAAAGTCAAAGCCCCATGAATGCAAGAGAACTAGCAGTAGGAGGTTGGGAGGAGGAACTGCCCTCCACTTGGAGCGGGGGCAGCATGAGCAGATGATAGGAAGACTCTAAGAGTCTAGTCCTGCATGGCCATAGGGCTGCGGGTCAGGTGGTCATGGTGTCAGGGGTGATGCTGCAAGTAATAAAAGGGCTAGAGCCTGAGGTGTGGCAGGGAAGGGGCAGCAGGTCCTGTCCAGTGCTCGCTCAACACAGCTTGAGTTTGGGGGTTCACTGCTGCCGTGTGTGGCACTGCCATTTCCTAGAAGAGAAGAGGCTCCAGGAAAACAAAATGTGCTTTAGATTTTGACGTGCAGAAATATCTCAACTTCCATGAAGCTCAGAGAAGAAACAGCCCCAGATAAGATGGTACAACCAGGCCAGATGGTGGGCTGGGTCCTGTCTGGGGTCGGAGAGCAGAACAGTTGGCTCTAGAGGCAGGGTGGGCCCCAGAGGAGGGTCTGGAGTAGGTTGGGATGAGGCAGCAGATGGGCAGACTCCTGGAAGTGTGGACCCTCTGTGACGCTGCCACACACACACCCCCGCCAGGGTGTGGCCTCCATCAGCTGCTAACCCAGAAGACCCCTTGTGGATGGAGGAACTTAGTGACTGTGCATGACCTAAAGGAGTCCGAGAGGAGGGGATCCAGAACCTTAGGCAGCACTGGTGGTTCTGTTGGTCAGAAGTTGTGTTCCACCCCCTGGACAGCCTCTTTTTGTATCCTCCCTCCGGCCAGGCAAGCACTGGCCGTCTCTGGACCTTTCTCAGCACGTAGGACCTGTGGAGTCTCACACTGTCTTCTTTTTGATCATTATTTGCATCCTGTTTGGGTCAGGGACCCCCTGTAGCACTCCCAGCCTCCCAACTCTCTCCCTACATTGGGATACCCTTATCCCTCTCTGGTGGGGAGAGAGTGACAGTTCCGTTCGGCTGTGTAAAGGCAGACCCTTGGGGACCCAACATGAAGCCCAAGACAGGTAAAAGTGTCCCCAGACCACTTCCCACAGGACCAAGCATGTCCTTGTTTCTGAATTGAAGCATCATGGACAGTTCTGGCAGTTCTCTCAGCTCGACAATGTGAATGCTTGATCCAGAGACAGCTCAAAAGGTGTTTTAGCCATGGATGCTGGCCCAGAGGGTATGACATCCTGTTGGGTCAGGATGGCCCCTGGAGGTTGTAAGGGGATCCAAAGTCAGCTGGACACAGAGCCTGAGCTCCCTGGTACCAGAAGGGCTGACCCCCGGGGCTTGTGTAAATGTTCCTGCTCCTGCTATTCTTGAGAACTCTGTCAATATTTGAACACTGAGATATAAAAAGCACGTGAGGAATTGCTACAGGCCTGACCTGCTTTTTAAGCCATCTGTCCTAGTCAGGCATCCTCAGCACTGAGTCCTTCAGGCCGGAGGTGTCCTCCTTGCCACCTGCCAAGGACCCAAGAGGTAGTAGGCACTACAGCTGCAGAAGGGGAAACTGCAGGAGGAACAGTGTGTGGTTTGTACCTGCGCGTGACACAGGGTGGAGCAGGCTGGCCAGGGACACCAGGATGAGCCCTGGTTAAAACTGTCATGAACCAGGAGGCATCATCTTTCTCTCCATTGCTACCTTGCGGGACTCGGTGGGAGCTTCTCCATCAGATACCCTCTAGTAAGTATGTACACAGCAGGACCCAGACAAAAGTAGAGATGCTCTGGAGAGGTGGAGTAGGAATCCACAGCTGGGCAGTGCTGACCAAAGGAGCCAGGACCCTGCCCCATCAGGAAGTTTCTGTGTCCTGGAGGCTCTGCCTGAGAGCTGCAGAGACTGCAGCCTTATTGTCAAGGAGCCAGCCCTAAGGGCTTTGTGCAAAGACTGGAGCTGTCTGTGCTCTGGTCACCTAGGGACAAGATAAGGAAGGCTGGATGGTGGGGCCAGCTGTGCTGTGGTCACCTGTGGCCCAAGAACAAGCCCAGAGTACAGAGCTGCCAGTCACTCCATGAGTTGCCAGGCGGGTGCCAGTGGCCTTTATCTAAAGCACCTGTTGCACCTCAGCTGTGGGGACCTGGTGAGATTCTCCACCCAGCCTCTCTCTCTTTCTCTGTCCTAAGACTGTCCCTATGGGTCTGTGGCAGCCCACACAAAGCCTGAGGGTACACTGGTGCTCTCCTGATGCTCTGCATTTGGAGCTCCAGCCTGGGCTGCAGCCAGACCCCAGGGGCTTCTGCCTTACACAGAAGACCTTGTCTCAAAGGTGGACCAGAAAAAGAAGTGGCTCTGCCCTTCTTATTCAGAGTGGATCTCGCTCGATCCCTTCTCTCCTTCCTTTTTGCTTGTTAGAGACTGCAGCAGAACATTGCCTCACTTCACCTTGGTAGCTTTATTGGTGATACAGGATGCACTAAATAAGTCAGGTGTATGTGAGCTGGGTTTCAGATCTGGTATATGCTGAACTCGGCTTCGGACTCGGGCCAGCATTCGCCCACTGTTCCCCAAGGCAGAAGGAAAGCTGATGTCCCCAGGTGTTTCCAGTCTTGTGGAATGGTGCCAAGCGTGTGCCCCTTCCTATGGGCTTGTTGCTGCATGGAGATGCAAATCCTTAGTGCTAGTGTGGCTTTGCTGAGTGACCTTGGGGACGTCCGAGCTCAGCCTTGTAGTCTCAGCTTCCTGGGAGGCTATAGGATAAGTTGGAGTGGCAGGACTTCTCAGCATAGCTCCTGGCCAACTTCAGGCTCCATCCCTCCAGGCCCTGCTGGGTGTTACATTCATTGTATTCCCTGCCTGAGAGACACCATTGCCTCTGGACAATGGGGACTGAGCCCCTAGTAGTGGTCCAGGGATGAGGAGGCCTCAACCTGCCCCTGGGGGAAATAATGGACTTTTACAGAAGAGGAAGCAGTGTACCCCAGTATCAGTCAGCCCTGCTATTTCCCTACTCGATGCCCCTATCTGACCTCATCCATAGCAGCCATGTGGGGTCCAAAATTGGCCACAGACCTGCAAAACAATGTATCTTTTTGCACTTGGGAAACCTCTAGTGGCTTGGGTGGCCGGCCAGCCCAGGCAGTGCCCAGTTCTAGTCGGGTCCCATGGCTGACTCCATGGCTTTTCCTGCCTCAATTGGTGGTGCTCCCCAAAGCCCGGCTTTTCAAAGCCAAGTGGTGTGCTTGCCTTTTTTCCCCCCGTTGTTTTGCTCTTCTTTTTCCTTTCTCTTTTTCTTTTTCTGAAATATGCTTCTAGAGACAAACACTCCTCCCGAAGCTTGGGGTCTTGCCCTGGCACCTCTGCCTCCTCAGTGAAGCCTGTGAGAGCCTGCACACTAACTCTGGGGGTGCCAACCCCGCTACCCCAGGCCCGCCGGCCCTCCTCACTGAACTGCTGCCTGTGTCTGTCCCTCCCTGCACACTGACGACTTTGCTTAAGTGTGGTAGCGTGACCGGTGTGTTCCGTTCTGCCTAACCCTGTGGTCTTGTGTCGTTTGTTTTTCCCTTACAGGGTCAGCCCTGAAGCGTCTCTGCCTAGGCAAAGAACACAGCAGTAGTAATTATCTGGGTTTTTTACCCCCTTTGTCCCTCTCATCGCATGGGCTTTCTCGTGGCTAGTGCGCAGCGGGTGGCCCGCTCTGTGCCCGCCCTCGGGCTCCGCTTTGCTTCTGCCTGGCAGGACAGCTGCCTGTGGCCCCTTTGTGTCCCCATGGCTCCTAGAGTTGGTGCGGCCTCGCCAGTTCACATCTAACAGGCTTGTCCTTCTCCGCAACGTCCACAAATTACCAATCATTAATTGGCTCCTTTTCCAAAACCGTAGGAATCAGTATTTCCTTGAAGTGCTAAAGATGAGTGCTTCCCCCCCGAGGAGAGATACGAGGACCGAATGGGTATTAGTCTACCTGGGCCACTCACACCTCTCATCTCTTCCTCTCTCTCCTCTCTCTCTCCTCTTCCTCCTCCTCCCCTCCCCCACCTCTCTCTTTCTATCTTTTCCTCTCGCTCCTGTTTTAATTTTTTTCAGATTTTCATTTTTCTTTCCTGGCTGAAGTTTTCATGTAGAAATAGCTCTGTGTGTGTAAAAATCTCATCACTAATTTTCAGTTGTTTGTGTCTCTGCCTTGTCATTGCTAGCCACTAAAGTACACTACATTTTGGAACAGCTTGTTTGAAGAGATGGTCATTAGTTTTTGGTGGAGTTTTTATTAGCACAGAAAAAGATTTTTAAATTGGCTTATTTAAAATCACCAATTAGAAATGATGTATGTTGGGGAGAAGGGCGGGGGGAAACATGACTTTAAAAAAAATTGTAAAACCCTGTGTTGGTCCTTAGAAAAAAAATTTGAATGCAGCAGCTCGGTGTTCTGGCAGCACAGGGCTCCAGGCCCCTGCCTCTCTGCATCAGCCATGGCTGAAGAGGTGGAGGCTCTTCCTGGCTCTGTTCTTCCCCAAATGCTCCTGTAAGGAAAGGCTATTGCCTAGTCTTGGGTTCCAAACAACCAGCCCATTAAAATTCACTCATGTGAATGCAAATCAGGCAGGCGGCCTAGGGGTCCTAAGCACCTTGCAAAGCGTTCAGCCTCTGGGCCTGTTTTCCTTCCTCTTACCCTGAGGAAGCAGGGGATGAGAGACAGATCCTGAGGAATTAGACACTGTCCGTGTGAAGGCGGTGCTGTGCTAGTTCCGCATGTGACTTGGGTGGGATGGCAGAGGTGGGCATAGAGAGGACTCTGAGCAGATGCTGCCGGCTATGTGGGGTCTGTCCCCTGGCCTGGCTTATGACATGGGCAGTGGCTGCCTGGCATAGCCCGGTCACTCACAGCCCATGAACATGCCATACCATGTCTAAAACTGGGCAGCAAGGCCCTGTGATCCAGACCACCTCTTGAAGCAAGGTGTTGCTTGACCAAAGTGAGGCCATTTTCTTGGCCATCGTGTAAAAATGACTGAAGCCAGCCCACCAGTGGCGCTGGGCGAGTGTGTGGCGTCACCAATCCTGGCCTGTATGTGACTCCCCAGGGTCTTCCACCAGCAGCCTGGCCCCAGGCCCCGAGCCGGGTCCCCAGCCCACCCTGCACATCCAGGCGCAGGTGAACAACAGCAACAACAAGAAAGGGACCTTCACCGATGACCTGCACAAGCTGGTGGATGAGTGGACGACCAAGACGGTGGGGGCGGCACAGCTGAAGCCCACACTCAACCAGCTAAAGCAGACACAGAAGCTGCATGGCATGGAGACTCCCGGCGAGGCGCGGGCTGTGAGTATAGGCGGTGCGGCTCTGCCAGGGAGTAGGGCAGTGGGCATCGTGGCTAGAAGTAATTGCTAGCATAGCATCCCGTGTGCCAGTTTGTGTACACACAGAGCACTTTGCTTTCGTGATCTGAGTTTGTCATCACCACAGCCCTTTGAGTTCGGCTCTCTTCTTTCAGAGTAGGAGGCACGTGACTTGCCTGTGGTCCCCAGCAGGTGGAGGGGACAGGCTAGGCTGGGACTGTGACTCTAAAGCTTAGCTACAGCAGAGGCTCCAGCCTGGGCAGCCTGAGCCCTGCAGCCCACAGCCAGCATGTGCAGCCCTAACTTTGGGGACAGATGCATCGCTGTCCGTACTCTGTCTCCAGGCTGGCAAAGGAGCAGGTGTGCACCTCACCCTCTCGTGGCAGCCAGCGGCCTGCTTCAGCGCACATTCAGGGGAGCCAAGCGGGGAGCGCACGGCGCGTTGCTCTCACATCTCGGCAGGTGTGTGTTCAGGTGTGCGTTTTTTGCGTCAGTACTTGTTGGAGGAGTTTTCCCTTTGACTTTACTGGAAGGGTCTGTGAAACATTGGGGTTATTTCCACCTTAAATGCTCAGTGGGTTCTTAGACCAGGCTATCTGGGCTATAGTATTTTGTTGTTGCTGGTGGTGATTGTGTTGAAAACATTCATCTGTGAGCCTTTGCTTTGAAAAATTTTGAACACACAGGAGTTGAAACTCTGCGGTGCACGCCTGTGTGCCGCCGTCTGCACTCTGGTTGACATTTTGCTGTATTTGTCACACACTGGTTTGTCCCCGGAGGGGAAGGTTTTCATTAGGGATCTGGCTCCTTCTATAGTTTTACGGTCATTTGCATTTTCTGGTTTTTCTTGACAGTCTTGTCAAGTTCTTTCCTAGCAGTTGCTATGCCTCCACTTTCCCTAAGCCTTTAGCCCTTTTCTTCCTATCAGACTCTGTGTCTTCAAAGAGTTTTGTAACTTTTTAGCTCCTATATTAAGTCAGTTTTTGATGTGGTTTCATTCTTTTATATGTGAATATCCATTTTTCCCGGCAGAAATTTATTTAAAACCTTGTTATTTTCCCACTGAATAACGGCACCCTTGTTAAAAATCACCGGCCATATATGCAAGAGTTTATTTTTGGATTCTCTGTTCCATTTCAGTGGTTTATATTTCTATCCTCATGACAGTATCATACTGTTTTGATTGCTGTAGCTTTGTAGTAAGTTTTAAAATCACAAAGGACTTCAGTTTTGTTCTTCTTTTTCTATATTGAGACCTAGTCATCAGAAAACTTGCAACAAAGTAAAATCTAGGACCAGATGGCTTCATTGGTGAATTCTACTAAGCATTTAAAGAAATAACACCAGTGCTTCTTTTTTTTTTTAATTTTAAATTGAATTTATTGGTACATTCTAGGTAGACAGTACAGTTACATTCATTACTGGGATCTTGTACCTTTACATGACAGGTCTTGGTTCTCATTTTTTTCCCCTTGTCCCCACCCTCCCTTCACCCCCTCCTCCCCTCCCTACCTTCAAACACTTTAATTCCATTTTTACATTTCTCATACTTTTTTCCTTTTCCATTATTACCTTTCCCTATCCTTCTCACTGTCCCTACACCTTTGGTCCTTTTCTTCCTATTTCACATTGCTAATTGTCCCATTAGGATCGTGAGTACTATTTTAGTTTTTCACACCAGAGAAACTATTTGGTATTTACACATGTGTGACTTACTTATTTCACTTAGGAGTATATCCTCAATATGTATCCATTTTCCTATTAATGAATCTACTTTCTCATTCTTTATGGCTGAGTAGTATTCCATTTTATAGAAATACCACATCTTCTTTATCTGGTTTCCACCTGATGGGCAGATGGGCTGTTTCCAAGTTTTAGCTATTACAAACTATGCCACAATAAACATAGATGCGCATATATCACTGTGGTATGATTCTTTTAATTCTTTTGGAAAGATACCCAGCAGAGGGATGGCTGGGTCAAATGGAACCTCTAATCCTAGTTCTTTGAGGTATCTCCATATTGACTTCCACAGTGGTTGCACCAGTCTGCACTCCCACCAACAATGGAGAAGGGTTCCTTTCTCCCCACAATCACGCCCACATTTGTTGTTGTGTGATTTCTTGATAGCAGCCATTCTTTGTGGGATGGGGTGAAGTCTCAGTGTTGATTTCATCTGCATCTCTCAAATGGCCAGTGATGTGGAACATTTTTTCATATATTTAGTTGCTGCTTTTACTTCTTTGTCTGAGAAATGTCTATTCATTTCAGATGTCCATTTTTGAATTGGGTCTTTATATTTGGGGGGCTGGTTGTTTTGAGTTCTTTATATATTCTAGATAATAGTCCTTTGTCTGAGGAGCAGCTGGTAAAAAGTTTTTCCCACATTGTAGGTTGTCTCTTAGTTCTGTTGATGGTTTCTTTTGCAGTGCAGAAGCTTTTTAATAGGATGAGATCCCAGTTGTTGATTCTTTCTGCTGGTTCCTGTGCTGCTGAGGATTTGTTCATAAAGTCTTTTCCTATGCCAACGTCTTCCAGAATTCTGCCTAACATATCTTCCAGCAAGTTTAGTGTTTCTGTTTTAATATTTAGATCTTTCATCCACTTGGATTTCAGTTTAGTGCATGGTGACAGATAAGGGTCTAGTTTTAATCTTTTGCAGGTTGAGATCCAGTTTTTCCAACACCATTTATTAAAGAAGCTCTCTTTCCTCCAGTGGGGACGGTCAGCTCCTTTGTCAAAGATGAGGTAGCTGAGTGCATCTGGAATTGTTTTTGTGTCTTCCAATCTGTTCCACTGACCCTCAGGTCTGTTTCTTTGCCAGTACCATGCTGTTTTTATCACAATGGCTTTGTAGTATAGTTTCAAATTGGGAATTGTAATTCCTGCTGCCATGCGTCTGTTGCCTAGGATGGCTTTTGCTATTCTAGGTCTCTTATGGTTCCAAATGAATTTTTGGATTCTTCTTTCTAGTTCTGTGAAGCACAGTGTTGGAATTTCAATTGGCATTGTATTGAATCTGTATAGCAGTTTTGGTAGTATGGCCATTTTCACTATGTTGATTCTTCCTACCCAGGAGCAGGGGAGATCTTTCCATTTTCTTATATCCTCTTCAATCTCTCTTTTTAGAGTGTTATAGTTTTCAGTGTAGAGGTCTTTTGCTTCTTTTGTTAGATTGATTCCCAGATACTTCACTTTTTTGGATGCTATTGTGAAAGGAATTGTTTCCCTAATTTCTCTCTCAGTGAGTCTGTTGTTTGTGTATAAGAAGGCTATTGATTTTTGTATTGTGTGTTGCTTGTATCCTGCTACTCTGCTAAAAGTGTCAATTAAGTCTAGAAGTCTTTTGGTGGAGTTTTTGGGTCTTCGATGTAGAGTATCATATCATCAGCAAATAATGACAGTTTAACTTCTTCCTTTCCTATCTTTATTGCTTTAATTTCTTTCTCTTGTTTAATTGCTATGGCTAATGTTTCCAGAACTATATCAAAGAGGAGTGGTGATAATGGGCATCCTTGTCTTGTTCCTGATTTTAACGTGAAGGTTTTCAGTTTTTGGCCATTTAATATGATGTTGGCTGTTGGTTTTTCATAGATAGCTTTTATTAAGTTGAGACATAGACCATCTATTCCAACTTTCTGCAGGGTTTTTATCATGAATGTGTGTTGAATTTTGTCAAATGCTTTTTCTGCATCTATCGAAAGGATCATGTGGTTCTTGTCCTTGACTTTGTTAATATAGTGTATTATATTTATTGATTTACGTATGTTGAACCACCCTTCCATCTCTGGAATAAGTCCGACTTGGTCAGGATGTATGATCTTGATGATCCTCTGTATTCTGCTTGCTTATATCTTGTTAAAGATTTTTGCATCTGTATTCATTAGGGAGATTGGCCTGTAGTTCTTTTTTTTAGTTACATCTTTCCCTAGTTTGGGAATCAAAGTGATATTTGCTTCCAGGAATGAATTTGGAAGTATTGCTTCTCTTTCAATTTCATTGAAAAGTCTGAAGAATAATGGCAGTAGATCTTCTGTAAATGTCTTGTAAAATTCAGCAGTAAATCCATCTGGACCTGGGCTTTTCTTTGTTGGTAAGTTTTTCATTACATTTTCAATTTCACTGATTATAATTGGGGTGTTTAAAATGTTTTTATCTTCTTCTTTCAACTTTGGTAATTCATAAGTATCTAGAAATCTGTCCATTTCTTCCGTGTTTTCTGTTTTATTAGAGTACAGGTTCTCATAGTATGTATTAATGATCGTCTGGATTTCTGTGGGATCTGTTGTGACTTCACCTTTTTCATTCCTGATTGCATGAATCTGAGCCTTTTCTTTCCTTTTTTGATAAAGTTTGCTAAGGGTTTATCAATTTTATTTATTCTTTCAAAAAACCAACTCTTCGATTCATTTATTTTTTGTATCATTTTCTTAGTTTCCATTGCATTGATTTCTGCTCTAATCTTTATAATTTCCTCTCTTGTTCAAGCTTTGGGTTTTTCTTGCTCTTGTTTTTCTAGGAGTCTAAGAGTCATCGTTAGGTTGTTTATTTGAGCTTGCTCTGTTTTTCCTAATGTGGGCATTCAGTGCTATGAATTTTCCACATAGAACTGCTTTCATTGTGTCCCATAGATTTCTGTATGTTGAATTAGCATTTTCATTTATTTGTAAAAACTGTCTGATTTCTTCTTTAATTTCTTATGTGATCCGTTGATTGTTCAGGAGAGTGTAGTTCAATTTCCATGTGTTTGTGAAGTTCCTACGGTTTCTTATGCTATTGATCTCCAGCTTTACTGCACTGTGACCTGATAATACAGAGGGAATAACTTCAATTCTTTTGCATTTATTCAAACCTGTTTTGTGAGCTAGTATGTGATCTATCTTGGAGAATGACCCATGTGCAGCTGAAAAGAATGTATATTCTGATTTTGTGGGGTGGAACACTCTATAGACGTCTAATAAGTCCATACGTTCAAAATCTTGG